TCTGTCTGTCCGTCTGTCTATCTGTTTGTTCCGGCTAATCTCCGAAACAGATGGACCGATTTTGACGGTATTTTCACTGGCAGATAGCTGATGTCACAAGGAGTAACTTAGGGTACTTTTATTTCAGAAAAAGAATTAGGGTTTCGCGCAAAAAAAAAATACCCCAAAAAACACACGGACGAAGTCGCGAGGAACAGCTAGTATGATATAAATCTTACTCGATAAAAAATTACCAATTTTTTTTACTGATTATAAATTATCAGTGCTTGACCGCAATCCCACCTGGTGGTAAGTGGCGATGAAGCCATGAATGGTAAATCGCACTAGTTTAGCGTAACAAATCACGCTTGCCTTAAATACGCTCGGATTGTATTCGGACAGAAAGACTGACCGCAGGCAAATGATGCCACTCTTTTGCTGTACGCATTACTAAAGACGAAGCAAGCCCTACGCTGGAAGCTTACCTCAAAGGGTATCGTGCCAAACCCTGTCAAAGGTCTTTGATACATCAAGGAAAACAGTGCTTCCCCACTGTTCTCAAGGGCTTCATCCCATATGTGAGTGGCATACGCTAGAAGGTCCCCAGTTGATCAATTTCGGTGAAATCCGTACTGGCGGTCACAGAGGAAGTCATTTTGCTCTGGGTATGCCATGAGGTGAGCGTATATTGAGGCTCCATAATCTTGCAGAGTATGGAGGTAATTGAAATTGGCCGATAGTTAGTAGGGGCGGCACGACTGCTAAACTTGGTTTAGGATGGTTTTTCTAACGCTATCGCCATTATAACAAATGGGCAATTTCACCGAACTATTATTCTTTATTACTTCGCAAGCTTACAAATTGAATATACTCTTACTATATTCATTAATTCATTCATTACAGCCCTTCACAAGTCCACTGCTGAACATAGGCCTCCCCCAAGGAATGCCACAACGCATACTTACTATGTATTATATGATAACAGCAGCCGCATGAATAATGGTATATTATTCCATTTGCATCCATTTAACGTATTATTACGACAACTGCAGACAGTACAGCGATGAGACTGAATTAGTTTCTGGAGATAATGACGTTTTCGCACGCAACGTTCCTTGCCGGTTTCAATTTAATCGAAATAAATCAGGAACTTGAAATATAGAGAGATTTATTAAAATGTCCTCTTTAAAAAATTTATTAATTCATATTACAAATTAATATGTTGATAAGCTAATTTTAAAAATTTATAAGTAACTATTTCAAAACAAGCTGGCCCGGTGACGCTGTTCTAGCTCTTTTCGGCAGGTGGCGCAATGAGTTGAGTCCGAACTCCGTCCGGACTTTTTATAAATATAAAATTTATTAATAACTCGACCATATATTGAGTTCATATTTTGTGATTTTCTTTTTCAGAAATAAACCCACATAAAGGAACGTGAATATGAGTCATTTTGGTCCTAAAAAGAATTTGTTAATATCTTGCCTACAGCGCCCAGTATAGCTGGGATACAAAGCAACAGATACTTTCACAGGAGTAAGATTTCTTATGGACATATTCTATTTCTATTTTCTATTTTCAACCGAGTTTAAAAAACGTGAAGTTCCTAACGACTTGTCCTTTATGTATGTTCATTGATTTCCCGAAAACGGCCTAACCGATTTTAATGTCTCTTCTTTTGTTAAATGGGATATACTTTACAAACATTTAGAAGAAATTGATGAAACTATTTAGACGACAATCTATAGTTGTTACTTTGAACATATAATATTCCTTAGTCCTTAGTTATAGTAAAAAGAATACTATAACTTCCACGTACTAGCTTATGAAGTCGAAGCTTAAATTATGTGATACTACCGACTTCAGAAGCTATTAGGTTGTAAAATTAAAAAAAAATTCGACTATTACAAAAATATTTAAGGTAAAAAAAATACTATACTATACTAAACTAATATAATAGTGTAAGCATATGATTTCGGCGTATTGTGGGCCCGCCATGGGTTCGAATCTCGCACGGAATTGAAATCAGTTCAGGTCTAGATATTTGTTCACATGCATTTTATGTATGTAAAACGCTTCCACGATCCATGACAAAATCGCTAACGTTAGGAAATAAGTACAGAATTATCAATGATACCTATACTTATATAAAAATATATTATAATAACTTCTCAGGTGGTATTTTAATTTTTACTTTAGAATTTTAAACATCATGAAATCATTTTAATCTATATTGGTAATTAAACTGTGTAAACAGGTGAAAGAGTGCATTTATTGCAGAGAGACCCGTACGAGTCCTAAGCTGTGGTACACCGAGAACCCAAAATTGTGCAACTGCGTGAAGGATCGTTGCGTCGTATACAACGAGTTGCAGATGTGCAAAATGAGTCTTGTGGAGAGGGTGTATGGATGTGACCAGTAAGTACCACCACTGCTTAAACATCGGCTGTGCCACGCCTAGGTGCACCTAGCACGTTTAGACTCGGCTTTGCTATTCCATTGCAGAGAGGCGATTAATGTACGTATCCAGACAGTTAATATGATAATATCATTATGCAAGTGTTGAGATTAAACCGTATAGTTGTCGGTGTATAAATATACACTGCCCCATATCATCCCGTGGGTGTCGTAAGAGGCGACAGTGGGAAACAAATCAAAAGATGGGCCAGCAGCGTCTTTCTAATAACGACTTAAAATAAAAACTGTGGTTGCCAACCCGTTTGCCAAGAGTGCTAACTATGGCAAATATACCCCCTATGAGGCAACGGAAATTAAATATGCAAAAATGTGTCATGTCCGATATCAGGATGCGGCCGTCTTCACTTATAATTTCATTGTGAAATGTGAATACGAGGGCGGCACTGAAAATTTCGGGAATCAAGGAAGTGACACAACATTACTATTTAAAAATGTATTTATTGCTTTTCTAAGTATTCTCCGCGAAATTCGACACATTTTTCCATACGATGGAACCAATCATTGAAGCAACCATTCCATTCGGAAGTTGGGGTCTCCAAAATGGCCGTTTTGTAGGCGTCCACAGATTCTTCAGGTGATGAAAATCTCTGTCCACGCAATTTATTCTTTATTTTAGGGAAAGTATAGAAATCATTAGGGCTTAGGTCGGGGCTGTACGGCGGATGGTCTAATAATTCTATGTTTTCTTGCTCTAAAAACTCTTTTGTTCTGTGTGCGGTGTGAGAACTCTCATTGTCGTGATGGAGGATGATGCGGCGGTTGCAGTTCTCTTTACGTAAATACAGGAATAAGAACGGTGCGCGCCCTATTGGCGCCGACGGCATAGGCAAACCAAATAATGGATAGTGGCCCCTATCGATTTGCTACATTTAACTGTAAGAATGTTAAACGCTCCATTAATGACGTCAGAGACTTATGCCATACGTGTGACGTGATATGTCTTCAGGAAACTTGGATTCTGAATCATGATATACCCTTTATTGGCACGATCGACAGCGGTTTTGGTTATGTGGCGACATCAGCGGTCGATACATCTGCAGGCATCCTACGCGGACGCCCCTATGGCGGCGTCGCGTTGTTATGGCGGTATAGCGCATTCCAGCAGGTGGCAATATTAAATTGTGAAAATTCACGCATTTGTGCAATTAAAATTATAACAAATGATAGACCCTTAATTGTGATGAGTGTTTACTTGCCGACAAACTCTGTCGACAATTTACAGGAATTTACAGACTGTTTGAGTGCGGTAAGCGCTATTATTGACGAATATGGAATTGAAGCAGTGTTTATCTTAGGCGACTTCAATGCGGACCCGGGTGAGTTGTTTTACAGTGAACTTGTTAGTATTTGTAATGACCAGTTATGGTCATGTATAGATGTAGATATGCTAGGGCTGGACTCTGGTACTTTTACTTTTATTAGTGACGTCCACGGGACCAGCAGTTGGCTAGATCACTGTGTCACAACTCTCGCGGCGAGGCAGGCTGTCGTCGGTGTAGATATTAAGTATGACACTCTTTGGTCAGACCATTTCCCACTTATAATTAGTTGTAATTTAAATTTTTTAAATCCTAAGATCTTTGCGAGCGTAACCAATGTTAACAAAGACGTAGTATGGGGTATAAAGAGTGCGGAGCAAATCACAGTGTACGCTAAAGAGTGTCATAATAGGCTAAAATTAGTAGACTTTCCTTCTGAGTGTGCGAACTGTGCTGACCGATTTTGTAGTGACCGTGGCCACAGGCATGTTCTGGATAAGCTTTACTCTGACATTGTTGCCGCTCTCCAAGGCGCGGCGACTTTGGCGAGTCGGGGAGGCGCGAGGAGGGCTGGGGGTGGCCCGCGCATAGCTGGGTGGAACAAACACGTCAGTGAGGCTCACAGAGAGGCCAGATCTAAATTCAATGACTGGGTATTGTGTGGTAGACCCAGGTCAGGTTTTCTTTACAAAGAAATGTGTGATAGCAGAAGAGTGTTCAAGTCCCGATTAAAATGGTGCCAAAATCATCAAGACCAAATAAAGATGGACGCTCTTGCTGTGAAACATAGCAAAGGAGATTTTCGCGGCTTCTGGAAGTCCACCAGTAAAATAAATGTACGGCCTGGCCTTCCTGTGTGCGTCGATGGCATGAACAATCCCAAGGACATCGCAAATCTTTTCAAGAGCCATTTTTCTGTAAAATCTCTGTTGGATCCGGTAGTGGAAGTGCTCAGCACTGACCTGGACACACAAACAGTGGGGACTAGTTTCCTGGCAAAAAACGTAACAAAAGCTATAGGAGATATGTCAGGAGACAAGTCCCCGGGACATGACGGACTTAGTGTTGAGCACTTGCAACATGCTGGACCTCACCTAGCTAGGGTCTTGGCTTTGTTCTACTCTCTGTGTGTGAGCCATTCCTACCTGCCCGCAGATTTCATGAAAACCGTGGTGGTACCCATAGTGAAGAACAAGACGGGTGACTTGACTGACAAGTGTAACTATCGGCCCATTTCTCTTGCCACCGTAATTGCAAAGGTGTTTGACGGTTTGCTCAACACACAGTTGAATAAACATGTAACGCTCCACGATAACCAGTTTGGATTTCGTCCTCGCTTGTCCACTGAAAGCGCCATATTGTGTCTAAAGCAAACCGTCAAATACTACACTGATCGCAGGACGCCTGTGTACGCGTGCTTCCTCGACCTATCCAAGGCCTTTGACCTGGTGACATATAACCTGCTGTGGGACAGGCTGCAAAGCATAGGCTTGCCTCAAGAACTTATCAGCATGTTTCGGTACTGGTACGCAAACCAGGCCAATAGTGTCAGGTGGGCGGGGGTAATGTCGGATCCGTATCGGCTTGAGTGTGGAGTCAGGCAAGGTGGCTTAACATCACCAACCCTATTCAATCTATACATCAACGGGCTGATCGTAGCGCTTAGCAGTCAGCATGTCGGCTGCCACATTGACGGTGTTTGTGTCAATAATCTGAGTTACGCAGACGACATGGTGCTGCTGAGTGCATCGGTCTGCGGCCTGAGGAAGCTGATACGGAAATGCGAGGAATATGCATGTGGTCACGGATTATTGTATAATGTCAGAAAGAGTCAATACATGATCTTTGAGGCCGCTGGTGCGAAATGTCCTGATAATATACCTCAAATAAAATTGAATGGTGTACCCCTGGAAAGGGTTAAACAGTTTGAGTATCTGGGGCATTTACTCACCTTCGACCTAAGGGATCACGCTGATATGGACCGGGAACGGAGGGCGCTGTCGGTCAGAGCTAACATGATCGCCCGTAGGTTTGCGCGGTGTTCAAAGGAGGTCAAGGTTACACTCTTCCGAGCGTTCTGTACATCGCTCTACTCGTGCAGCTTATGGGCTAATTACAGTAGGAAGAGTTACAGCGTCCTCCGCGTCCAATACAATAATGCGTTTAGGGCGGTGATGGGGTTGCCTCGGTTTTGTAGCGCCTCTGGTATGTTTGCGGATGCGCGCACCGATTGCTTCAATGCCACCATGCGCAAGCGGGCCGCGTCCCTGGTGCGCAGAGTGCGGGCCAGCTCCAACACTGTCTTAGCGATGATCTCAGGAAGGTTAGACTGTTATATTATCCGGCATTGTTGCGAAAGGCATGTCGCAGACCAGCTGCCTCTGAGAAAGTATTGATTAATCTCGTCTCCGGTCTAATAAAAGTGTGTTCTTATTTTTTTTTTTTTGTTTGTTAATTAGGTATTAATTTTATTTTATTTGCTTAGATTATTCTATATACTGACACTAATGCTTATTGAAATTGACTGGATGTATTATTTTAAAATTGTTATCTTGTTGACATTGATTTATGTATTGTATTGCTTTAATTGTGTAGATTAATTTTAATTTAATTTATTGCAGCACAGTTGCCTCAGAGAAAGTTTTAATTATTGATCTCGTCTCCAGACTGATAAATGTGTGTAATTCTGTTATTTATTTATTAATTTTAATTTTATGTTATTTTATTTCATTATTTTATTTATATACTGACATTACTGCCTATTTACATTGACTGGATTTTTTATTTTAAAATTGTTATTTTGTATTGAAATTGATTTAATTATTGCTAAAATTTAGGAGACTGATTTTAAATTTATTGATTTTACTGGATATGGGTGTAATTTGCCTGAATAAAGATGATTATTATTATTATTATTATTTACGGAGTTCAGAAACGACCTGTGGCAAACAAATGCTAGCATACCATTCTGCATTAACCGTTCTTTGTCCCTCAAGAGGAATAGTCGTAACATGGCCGCTTTTGGAGACAAACGTGGCCACCATTTTTTTTGCAACACTCCGTGAACGAACAATTTTTGTTGGCTTTAACTCATTTTCGAACATCCAAACTCGTGACTGGTTTTTTGTTTCGGGTTCGTCCCGTACGCGCGTATATCCAGGATTCGTCACCTGATACGATATTGTATACAGCATTTGAGGATCCTGCGTGGAATCTTTCGAGAGTTCTGACGCACCAAGTAACGCGAGCCGCTTTTTGCTCTTCACAGAGCGAATGCGATATCCATCGGGAAAACAACTTTTTTACACCTAATTGTTCATGCAAGATTATTTGTATTTGACTCATGCCAATGTCTAAAGTTGCCTGAATTTCGCGGTATGTCACATGTCGATCTTCCTCAATCAGCTTACGCACAGCATCAACGTTTTCTTGGGTGACTGCAGTTTTGGACGACCTTGACGGGGATCATAACTGAGCTTGACACGTCCACGTTGAAATTCAGCAAACCAGCGATAAATTGTGGTTTTGGATGGGGCTTCATCACCAAATGCAGAAATCATCCGGTCAACACACTGTTTTTGTGTTAAACCACTTCGAGTCATAATAAATCATCGCTCTTGAATTTTCTCGAGTCAATTCCATTTTCTCAACGACTAAACAAGTTTGACAAAACCTTGTGACAAGACCGGTATTCGATTTTTAAAACCAAGGAGTTTTCAATTAAAAAGATTTTAATATGACAGGAAGAGTGAAAATATTCCATTCCCGATACTTTTAGTGCAGCCTATGTACATAACTTTCAATAAAAATAGCTTACAACTGACAACTCTGAGCAATAAAGAACCAATCATTTGTAAATAGACAGTTCACAATACAAATGTAAAGAAAGCCCTACGTAATACGCAGAGTACGTGTGATAAATTCAACGTTCCAGTTTTTGCGGAATAAACATTTACGGTTTCTCGAAAACCCAGACGACGTATAAAAAGCCTCAATAAATCGTCGGCACAGACCAGTATCAATTTTACATTCGCCGGCGGACGCCGGTCGTCTTTTACCGTTAGGCATACTGAGTCCGTCTTATGCGTACTTGTATTTTAGTCTTAATAACGGATCTTCCAACTGTTTTCATGCACTGATACAATTAAAGGACGAACAGCGTCGTAGCTCTTTTATTTTGCTCAAATGTACAACAAGAATTACAATGGTGTTGCATTTTTTTTTTGAATAGATTGACAAAAAAAATTAAATAACCGTCCACCTAATAATTATAATGGCTATTGAAGCCCATCTAACTTTGAAACAAAGAAGGTCGTGGTGTTTTTTTTTTTTTTATAGAATAAGGCAAAGCGACCTCGCAGCCCACCTTAAACTTTTAAATGTTTAAACTTTTTTTATAGATAAGGGTGACAACAAGTACTCAGTCCACCTGATGGTAAGTCGATGCTGTGGCCCATAGACATCTACATCTATACTCGATTAAGTATCAAAATGCAGATGCGTTGTCATCCCTGACGACTAAGATGGAATGCCTCGTATCCGGTCCTCTACACTCACCATACGAAACACAGCAGCATTGTGCTGCTATTTTACGCTGGTATTCTGTGAAAGCGCGTTCCTACTCCAGTCGAGCCGACCCATTCGTGCTACAACTCTAAATAATGGGCCATGCGTTATCCCTTAGGATTTAGATGAATTATAACTAGTTAAAGTTAAAGTAACAGCCTATATACATTCCACAGCTGGGCACAGGCTCCTTCTCATTTCTAAGAGAATTTTAGGGCAAGGATATGTCTACCGCGCTGCTCCAATGCTTGTTGGCGAACTTCACATGACTTCGAAATATTTTTTTTCTTATTTCTTAGACATGCATGTTTCCGCCGATTTTTTTACCGCCGAGCACGTGGGAAATCAGCACTTAAAATTACAATTAACAATTATTTCATTGGTGCCGGTGGGGATCGAACCCGGGTTGCTCGCGTGCTGTGTTTTCAGCGAGCGTTTAGCATCTAAGCAACCACGGCTCAGATTAATTGCTACTTGTCAGCAGTCTTAGCCAGGGACTCGATAAGAAGATGATATCAAACCTGACCCATACCTAAGCAGAAAAGTAGTTCCAGAACCTAGTAGAAAGTTTTAATTGAAATGTGTGTATTCTAATATTTTTGCTTAAATCTAAACAACTTTTAAATCTTCTCATAGTAGATACAAAAGGAATTATCTTCACCACCGTCATATAGACGATAATAGTACCTGACGTTTCAGCAGGTAACCACTGGAATAATTAATATCAATTAACATTGAAATATTGACGATATATACTTCTATTTATGTATGTTACAATTCTGTGTTGGTGATGGTGACGTGTCTCTAACAATTAGGTTTTAAATTACTTACTTATGAAGAAAAAAATAGCAACTATACCAGTAATTATACGCACTATATATTTTAGGAGAGTACTGCTAATGCAAAACCTCATATGTAAAATTATACATACTATATTGCAGCCTCCAACAGACGTGAAAGCATTATCTATGCATTGCAATTTCGTACAAAACCAACTATAATTTGCGGTAGGCAACATCGCATAACATGCCCAACGCGCTGCGGGTATATCCAGTACAAATCTTACTATAATATTACAGCTCAGACCAATAACATTTTTATTGGTCTGGGTATTACAGTTATTCTCTATTTGTTCTACTAATTTTAGTAGACGATTCATGTACAAAATTACATACGGAAACCGAATTACAACACGAAATTTGCAAGGCAACTGTAGCAATAAATTAAACTGGTGAACATTTTCCGTTAAGTAAACTATTGCTTGTAAAAAAAAATGAAAGGATCTTTCACTATCTATAATTTGGGTTACCGTTAGATGAGACTTGTTTTACCAATTAAAAAGCTAAATCGGAAACGTAATTTTCTGAATAGGTTCCGTTCAACCGGCACAATTTTGCTTGTTTCTTAAAATAAATTATTAAAAACAACTTATGACGAATGTACTACTTATATAACACAGTTCATCAAATTATGAAATATTCGATCAATAAATTTAAATAAATTTAAATAATCATGTTTCATACATTCTTATAGATATATTCAGAACAATAAGGATTATAGACGACGACGTACCATGTCTCAAAACAAAGAGAATATCCTCTTAAAACACTCGTGCATACAGATTCCTTAGCCAGGCGCATTTATAGCGTATCAAATGTCTTTCGAATAAGGATGTTCATGATACGCTCAGGTCGCTATTTCATTCCTGTGGCATTTATGATTTATGAAATGATGGGGTATGTGGGATTGTGGTGTGGATTGGTTAAGTATTTATTAGCAATGTTATATCAACAATGTTATTAAACCTCTTGTAGTGTCAACAAGTTGAGTAAAAAGAACACTTTTTGCCATGATTACATGAAATATATTTTTAAGGTTAATTTTTGTAGCAACGTTGTGACAATACTTTACAGAGCAAGGCGACTCCTATCTAAATACAAAACTTTTAAAACATGAAATAATATAAGAATGTTGTTCTTACATGAGTATTTTAATCTAATACAGGGTTATGCCCACTCGTGTCATTTATTCACATGAACGTCATTTTGAAACAATAAGTTAAAAATGACCATTGGCAAACGGAATTTTAATTTCGTACGTCATATCCCAGTGGCGGTGTAAGGAATATCCACTACCCCATATTTTCGCCTCTTACGACACCCATGGGAAAATATGGGCAGCAGCATGGCAACTAAGGCATGGGCAGCAGCATATTTCTGACAAAAGCAAAATAAAAAACTGCGATTGCCAACCCGCTCCTGCATACCCGCCATAGCGAAGCCTTCCTCTGGGGCAGGCCTAGCAGCAGTGGACGTATGAAGGGCTGTAATGATTATGATGAAATGTCGTCAAAGATATAAAGATATTTTATGGAAGAGTTGACTTTCAATGCGTTCTAGTAAAATTTATTCAAAAGATAAAATACAACATAAACAAATTAAAAATTACAGTTGTATGAATAAAATAGTTCAAAAAATGTTTAACTTTTTTATATTTAGGTTATAATTTGTTTGATGGATAACCTTTATCTGACTATTAAAAAATCAGCTCTTAATATCATTCGATGCATCGTTGTTTACTGATTATGATCACACAGTATGTCCTGGTATTTTACTACATATTCACCGTATTTAATTTACTGTTATACCAAAACAGCGATGAACAAAATGACATTGTTCAAAGCGAAGCCTCTGACACATATTCTGTTTCCCGCCGAATCACAATGTGCGGCCGTTACGGCGCCTATTGTTTTTTTTTTCACACCAAATTCGGCGACAGCGTGTGGGTGTCGCTTTACATTCGCTCACACTGCTGTGATTTTGTAATGACA